AGTGTACACTTGTTTCATTTTGGGTTTGTCAGTGGGCTCTAAGAATTCGGTGTTATTGGGCTTGAAAACGTTTGTTTAAGAGTGGAAATAAAGAATTGATTTTTGGTTTGCTTCGGTTTGTTTGTCTCTTGAAATGCAACATCCCTTTGGTTTGGTTTATACCATTGATCGTTTTTTTATTTAGTAAACATCTAACTCTAATTACAGTATGGAGTAGTAGATTTGCATCCATGAGTAATCCTTTCTCTGGATTGAACGTTGTCATCGGTTTTCTAAAGCTATTAAAAGTCAAGTTTCTTTCTAACAAAAAAGGATATGTAGTTCTTGTGACATACCACAATTAAGCTGAATGCTAAAAGGCATAGACTTTATTGACACAATTAATCATTAAATTCGTTTTACAAAGGCTTAGACTTAATTGTTCTTACCATTTGTGTTTGCCTACATTTATAGTTCATGGTTGTTAATTCACTTGTTTAATTAGGTTATCATGCTTTTTACCCTTTTTGGGTTGAATTATTTAGTTGAGAGGTGTGTATCATCGTGTTGTGTTAAATTGAAAATTGTTAGGATTTGGTATATGTATCATCTTTTCTATATTGTTGTTTGGTTGCCGTTTATGGGATGTTTCTCTTTATTTATATTAGACAATTAAGTTAGTGTTTCATAAACTTTTGTTATTGATGAGTATTCGAAATGGGGAGCTGGACATACTGTATATAAACTTTTGTTATCTCACTTTTGTGAACACTTAATTTTCTATATATATTCTCATTTACGTCAAAAAGGTTAAAAAAATGTTTAATTTGCCCATTTATAGTTTCACATACAAAATATTTCGAAGTTTTAAAACAGCTCCTTGTCATATCCAACTAAGAAAGCTGATTTTTTTTTTGTTTCTTTGCAAATCAAGTTATTATATTTGAAATAATCAGACATCCAACGAGTTTTCCAATCTATAACGTCGCGTGTGAAAGAACTTTCCACATGAAAAAAGTTGTGATTCAAACAGTTCCAGTGGCGGAAATAGTGTATCTATGAAAATTTTAAACTTAGTGTAATTTTATATTAACCCCATCCAAAAACATAATGTTGAAACTAGGACACAAAAAAAACAAAACCATGCTCTTTCAAGGCTAAACGAACCTAGACATTTTTTGACAAAAAAAAAAAAAAAAAAACCTAGACATTTCACGTTGTTCAATTTTTTTAATTTTTTTTTTTTTGTTGTAATGAACTGATTTTTAAATGAAGCATTCGGCCTCGATGGTAAAATATATGATAAACATACACTAATCCACAAAGCAACGACCATTTAAGCCCTCAACAGAAATATATTTATATATATCCTTAACATAATGATACCACGGGATTGACAAAATGTTTCTAAACTATATATAGCTTAATGGTGAAACCTTAATTTGTTAAATGGAGTGCAAATTGCAATACCTTAATATCTTTCAAATTTTTCGTTAGTATAATTCAGGGCCGGTCCTTGTGTTCGTGTGGCCTAAAGCTTAAAATTTTTTCGTGACTTCACTCTATTTTCATAATTGAAAATTAAATCTATATAAATTCTTACATTAGCATTGAGTTAGTTTCCATTCTGTTTATGTAAAAAAGTTATTTAAAATAATATTTTGTAGATATAATAATAAATATTTGTTTTTCTTTATAAATGTTTTATATTGTAATGAAATAAAGAGTATAGGGTAAACGACACTTAAAGAACTAGTTTTAAAACAGTGAAATTTGCAACAAAGACAAATAATATGAATAAAAACACTAACAAAATATGACATCTAAAATAAGAAAAAACAATTTTAAAACTTATACCTAAAAGTTTTAAAGTTTAAAAGCCAAAATTATATTTTTTAACTAAACTATTGAAACAAAAGTCTTAAAACCAGAATATTGGAAAGTGAGATGTGGGAACACAGAGAATGATTTTCAATTTTAGAAATGTAAAAAGAAAAACTAAAAGTAGCAGGTGAGTAATAAGAGTCACCATCATTAATTTGTATCACAAGAAATGATTGAAGACCACTAGACTAAGGTCTCTTTTGGTTGTGTGGCCCTCAAATTCAGATTATAATGTGTGGTGCTTGCCTTAGGCAAGGGCCGGGCATGGTATAATTAATGGATGGGTTAGCTTTTGCCATAACCAGGGGCGGAGACACCTTGTTAATAGTGGGGTCAGTTGACCCCAACTAATTTGCAAAATTATATTATATGTTTTTACCATTAATCCTCATGAACCCAATTAAATTTTTTGTTTGACCCCATTAACCCAACTAATTTAAATACATAAAATGCAAAGGCCCTATATCTTTAGAAATTATACTCACGTTAGAAACAAAACCCGAAAGATTAGTACAATCTTTATAATTTACATGTGTTATGCAAACAAATTCATTCAAATTAATTAATTTTATACTAAATAAAATTATAAAAATTACTCTACGGACTCGCTTCGGTGGTTGATATTTTTTTTAGGATGTGAAAATCAAACTGTGATAAACGTAGAATTAAAAAACATGCAATCGTCGAATATTTTTTTGATATTATATAGATTAATTTGTTTAGTTTATTTTTTGACCCCGATAAAATGTATTTCTGGCTCCGTCACTGGCCACAACCGTTATCTAACTGGCACTTGTGCAATTTTTCTCATCATGGTCCATTTTCAGTTGAATAGTAGGTATCAAAATGATTTGGGCCATCCATCAATTTCTTCAGGTGTGGAACACGTACGTCACAAAAATAGTATGAAACAAATTCTATATCTAGCAAATCACACACAAGAGCCGTCATATATTAATATCCTCTTTTTTCGATAGTGTTACTAAATTGATGCATGTACTACAACGTGCAGAATTTCTAATTGTATTTTCATATGACTACGTACTATATAACAAATTAGAAATCAAAGCTTTTTATTAAAACTGAAACTATGTATATAAAGTTTGAAAATGTTGATGTGGCTAGAAATTTGTAGACTAAGATTTTTTTGTTTTGTTTAACCAGCCGAAAGAAAATGGAATGTTTAGGAGAAGATTGCGAGATCCTTAATTTGACCGTATTGATACATATACTTGAAAAGGAATGTTATTTAAATGGAATGTTATTTCCATCATATTAGCCGCATTGTTATTTGCAGCTAAAGAAATTGCAACACGGTTGAAATATCAACATCGATCAAAGATTCCACTTCCTGTGGTTGATTTCAATTTTTCAAATCAAAAATCTAAAAGAATAATGCTTCCTAAAAATATCATGTTTTATATAATACTGTAGTGTTTCTTTCTTTCTTTCTTTTGCTTCTTCTTCTTGCATTGTTCTCACTATATATATAATTATCGTGTTAGTAAATGTTTTTAAGATGAAACAAAACTATTGTAGATATATAATTGGAACCATTTGTGGATGCTAACGTTGTGGTGATCATGAAGGAACTACGAAACCATACTTTTAATTTGGTTTTACAGAGCACTTACTTACATATCGCATTAAGTCTCCTATTTGTGGTAGGATTCTCTATCCACATAAGTAAGCTAGAGAAGCTTGAAGATGGAAGCATGGAAGCATCAAAGAAGTCCAGCCATATAAATCGGTTATCCCAATTAATCTGCACATATAAAGTGTATGTGATATATTAGCAAAAGAAATACTAATAATAAATTGAACGGATTTAATATTTTTGTATGTGGCCATGCAAATCAATTACGGTTCCTTTATTATTTTCTATCATGTGCTAATTTAGATGTTGTATGTGATATATTAGCAAAAGAAATACTAATAATCTGCACACGTGTGTGTTAGATGCGGGACGGGTTTGTCATTGGGCCATCGATCTTATTTCCTCAGGTGGAACACGTCGCAATAAATAGTATGCACGTTGAAATTTTTTTCTATTTCTAAAAGCAAATCACACACACTCGCCGTCATATTTATATTTTTTCTTTTGATACTCTACCAAACGGATGGATGCACTACGTGACTTAAAATATCCCCATATGACTTAAAAGATAGATGCATGGCAGTACAAACGGATGGCCATATGACTCAAAAGATAGATAAAAGATAGAGTTAGCTGGTGTGTAGTTTAGTACAACATCTCATGTGATTGGTAAAAGAAGATAGATGGGTAGTACAACATCTCATCTAGGAAGCTCTTTTGCTAATGCCACTGTCTTTTGCTTCATCAAGATCCCAAATAGCAGAGTTAGCTGGTGTGTACTGTCTCTGGCTCGTACCGGCTTTATTCGGTTAATTTGTTCTGGAGTCATTGGTTCGATATTTTCAGTCACAAAGTTTTTGATCTATCCAAGGGTCTTGAGCTCTCTATCTGCTCTGTCTTTCCATGTTCCTAAATGTTAGCTAATGGTTGATAAATTTGATTTTGGAGCCAAAGGAGTGGCTGCGTCTATCATAAACGGACCACACGTGCATACCGAAGATATCTCTAGTCGTGGTTGCGTAAAATGTATTGAAAGAAACTAAAAATATTAACTAACTAACTAAGTGAATAAATATATATATATATATAGGTGTGATTTGATGATACAAAATGGAGTTTTAAAAGGGTAAGAAAAGTAAGGTTATAAAATGGCAGAATATATATATATATATATATATATATATATATATATATAGTTTAGTACAACATCTCATGTGATCGGTAAAAGAAGATAGATGGGTAGTACAAACTTTAAGTAAAAATAAAATAAAAAGAGTTGGCAAATAACCATATAAATTGGTGAAATATCTAGAACTCTATTGATGAAGAGTGATTTCTGAATACGTATGTAAGAGTGGTTCCATATAAAGCATATTGCATAGGTTTTTATTTACATGTACTAAAATAAATGATGATCAATTTGGAGCCGTTAGATTGGTAGAGCATCCAACGGCTGAGGATGGATGCGTCTCTCAATAAATAGAGAGTGGTTTCTCGCAAGAAATATCATTTGCTCTTTCCAAACAAAAAGCAACAAAACAAAAAAGAGAGAGAGAAAAGACGAGAAATGGCGAGAAGGAATAAGGAGAGAGCTATTCACCGCCGATTTGTTTACGGCCGCTTCAAGCTGACCACGACGGTTGGCAAAAATTCCACGCAGATCCGCAATTGGGTCGGCGTTGGCGGAAAAAGTCGGAAGGCAGCGGCGGCAAAAGGCACCTTGGTCGTCGGCTTCTCGATTCAACATTCGAGAGGAGAACCGCACTCTCTTACCTTTGCTGTGGGTAGAAAGATCTTGGTAGTTGATCTGAAGAGCACACAGTACATTCCAGAGAATCTCAAGAGTATGCTAAAGAAATCTTTGGTAAATTACTATCCACAAATTTCACTCTGTTTTTTTAGATTTCACTCTGTTTTCGAAAATCTTAACTCTCTTTGTTTTTTTGGTTGTTTTGGAAGGTCGTCGGATGTGGCATGAGTGACAACCTCGAAATCATCAAGTCTCTCCGTAGTCGTGTTTATTGTCCATTCGTCGAGGATTTGGGTTTGAAGCTGAACAGTGTCGTTCCCGGTTTGAACCGATCTGCTGCCTTAGGAAGAACCAGAAGAGGTAATGTCTCGGTAGAAGGTGCACGTGTCGCCGCGTTGGAGGCTTTCGCTTGCTCTCTGAAGGCCAAAGAGTGGCTTGGCATGCCGATGCCGATCTAAGCTATGTATTTCTCTGAAGTTTCTGGTTCATTTGCTATGTCTCTACTCTACGTTTGGTTCGTGTGTTGCTTTCTGCACTTTTTATGTATTTCGCTTACTTGATCTGGTTCATCTTTGCTATTTCTGCACTTGATATGAATTCCTCTTAATTTTGCAATTTATATTTCAGACTTAACTTTAGAATCTTTGTTATTCTCTTATTTCCGCATTACTATATCTATTTACTTCTGCAATTTTTTTTGTTCTGCAATTTACGTAATTTTATTTATTCTGCCTTTCAATATTCTGCAATTTATATATATACTAATACTATTATATTATATTTATGTATTTATTTATTTTGTTTCTGCAATTTTTTTATTTTTTTTAATTCCTGCAATTTCTTTATTTTACTTAATTTATGAAGTCTTGTTTACTTTAATCTTATTTTGTTCCTGCAATTTTTTTTTTTTTTTTTATTCTGCCTTTTAATATTTCTGCAATATATATATACTATTATCTTATATTTATGCATTTCTTTATTTTGTTTCTGCAATTTTTTTTTTTATTCCTGCAATTTCTTTATTTTACGTAATTTCTTCTAATTTTATTTATTTTACGCAATTGTTGTTTACTTAATTTATGAAGTCTTGTTTATATGGGTTAAAAGAGAAATAAATACAACCGCCGTCATAAAAATATTAATAGTAATAAATAACCAAATAAAGGAAAAAGGCGTGGTGGAATTACTCTCACAGTCTCACGTGACTGAAGAGAGTAGGGGTACCAGATATTTTCTTAACCGTAGATCTCAATATCAAAAGCAATAATAAACGGCTCGATCATCATAAATCTTTTCTCATTTGTGATTCTATTAACGGTTTTTTGTACCCACACTCTCTTGCTTTTTTTCTGTTTGTTTCTGTGTAATTAATAATGACCACCACATTAATATGAATCGTATTTTCCCATAGCAAAATAATGGTCACCGACTTACTGTATAGAAAATTTGAAATCCTCGTATAAATTGGCCAATTGGGACAAAGATTATATTATATTTATGCACTTCTTTATTTTGTTTCTGCAAAAAAAAAAAAAAAAAAAAAAAAAAAAAAATTTGGTAAGAAAAAAACTAGAGAGAGTATTACAATGATAACGGATTTGTCGTTTTTTGGGATCAATGTGACAGCTTTATGCGTTGCTCCTCATTTTTTTTCCTTACGTCATTTTTTTTTATTTATTTTTTTTTTTTTTAATGTCATTACTTTTATATGCGTGTCATGTAAACAAGATTCATTAACAACTAATAATAATTCTTATGATAAAAACAATCTATACTCAAACTTCCGATGGTTAACAACTTGTATATTATTGATGCCCTTTAATAATGACTAGGTTTATATGGTTAACAACATATTTAAATGCATACTCGCGCGTTCTCCTGTCTTTGTATGTGAAAATCTTGTGAACTTTAATTTATCATTTTAGTTTTGTTTCCTTTTGAATCTTTTCTTTTGTTGTGTGATGAATATGAACCAAAATGACTTGGGCCATCTATCCATTTCTTCAGGTGGAACACGTCACAATAAATTTAATTTATTAATTTGCATGCATGCAGATATTTTTGTTCGTTGTTGCATATGACAAGAGCGATCTCGAACCATTACGTAACTATTAAAATATACTGAACGTGCATACCCTTTATCCACTCAACCAATCAAATATGCATATGCGTTGTCAACCATTATTTTATGCGGGACGACTTCTATTCCGGACATTTTCTTCTACCAACCATTATCGTCTTATTTATATGTCCCACTACAAGATTAATACTATTTTCTATCATATACCAGAAAAACGACTTCTCTTTATCATTTTGCTTCGGTTTAATCACGATATTGCTTTTAGCGTATATATATATATATATATGAGGATATATATATATATATATGAGGTAAAAAGGAGAAAAAAAGTATGGGGTATTTTCTTACTTTATGCTAATCTCAAATACGTATTATGTTATCTCACAAATGTTTCGCACAATTAGCACTCCACCTCCAAAGCCACAATATCAGTGTCATCTCTCGTTTAAGCACTTATAAACAAACTTAAGAGAGGTTTGCTATGTATAGCAAAAAACTTTATGGCGATACCTTAATGTGTTATATGGAGTGCAATATTACGTTGAAATATAAGCTTCAAACTTGTAAGCTTCAAACAATTTTGGCCGGCAATTTTGCAAATCACATATCTAAATAAATAATACTTAGAAGAAGGGGGACTCTTTAGAGATATACACATCCATGACACGTTGACCATTTGTTTTAATTTGATTATTTTCAACAAATTCTAGAATTTCAAATTTGTATATTACTTTTAAACAACAAATGGGTGATGTGTCGCTTCCCTGTGAGTGAATATGCTTTTTGCTCGGTGGAAAACTAAAAAAAATTGATTTTCTTTTCTTGTAACAATAATAACTCATGTTATCCAAAAGTTTTGTCCAAAGATTTATCCCCTTTTTACCCCAAAAAAGAAACAAATATGATTTGACAATAGAGACGTGTGTTACATGCGGGACAGGTTTGTGTAGGGTACCAAAATGATTTGGGCCATCGATCTATTTCTTCAGGTGGAACACGTCACAATAAAATAGTATGCCCGTTTGAGAAATTTTACTAATTCAAATCTAATAATAAAAACATGTATTTGTTGTTAACCAATTTTTTTGTTCGGAAAATCTATTTTCGATATTTTCTTCTTCTAAAATAACCTAATACCAAAAATGTATTTTCTTTTATCATATCATTGTTTTGGTTTATTCACGAAATATTGCTATAAAACTATGGGGTACGTATTCTTACAATAAATCTCTTTATTTTTTTTTCTCTTTTCTTTGCATTGTTATTGTTGTTGTTGTTGTTTTTTTTTTTTTTTTTTTGCTAAACTTGTTATTTTTGTTGGTGATCAGTGGTATGGATATGTAACATGTTATCCCCACATTTTGACTCTGAGTTCTATATAAATCATCAATCATGGGTTTGATCCAATCAAGAATCTTTTAAAAGGTTATTTCGTTAGACTTTTAAAGACTATTTTTCGTTTTGGTTAAATATTTATAATATATATATATATATATTTAAATGAACGATTGTAAATAATAGGAAACCAATTGTTGAAGCCTACTTGTGGTCCTATATATATATATATATATATATATTTAAATGAACGATTGTAAATAATAGGAAACCAATTGTTGAAGCCTACTTGTGGTCGTGAAGGAAAGGAACTACGAAACCATAATTCTTAATTTGATTACAGAGCACTTATACACGGTCCTCTGTTTAGCGTTTTCTTCAACACTATATCATGCTAATTAGCAATGGAAATACTAATAACTAGACGGATTTAATATTGTTTTTTTGATGTATATAACGTAAGCACATTTAATTTCTTAATTTCAAAGTATCAAGTATATACGTGGTATTTTCTTTATGCCAATCTCAAATATGTTTTGCAATGACGTATCTCATATATGTTTTGCACATTTATCAGTACTCCACCTCCAAAGCCAATTAACAAGGACATTGCCTGGACAAAATATTCGCTAGATACGCTTCGACACGGTATTCGTTTTGATTTGATTCAAAAATCCAAATATCCGTGAAATTTTGAAGCAAAACAAATAGGAAAACATAGTTTTCGTAAAAACCGGAGCAAATAACAAATATTATTTTTTAAAAAGTCGGGTATCCGCCGCGAGACTTTGCTAACTCCTCGAGACTACGTTCTCGCCCCAAAATAGCGTCGTTTCGTTCTCCTTTTAGCTTGGCAACCTCATCGCGAAGAAGCTGCACCACGGAGTTAGCACTCCCCAAGCCTTTTAGAGCTTGGTCAGCAATTCTCTTCTCGGCCGCCAAGACTTTCTGGTGCTCCTCCGAGGCCGTGTTCTGCTCAGTAACAACACGGAGACGACGCTCGTACATGTACGCCATCCGATCAATCGCGGTGACGGCCTATAAAAAAAAAAAAAGAGAGAGTTCGATCAGAAGACGAAACAGTTAATAAAATAAAGCGAAAATTTTATTAAGTCATTACCGTGATGGTCTTCTTCGCAACATCGGTAAACGCCGTCCTCTCCCAAATGTCCTAAAGTTCGGGAAAAGGAGACGGACCAACATGGATCTTGCGGAACAATTCCGCAATGGACGCGGCAACAGTAGAAACGTGAATGTCACGCCCATCGTAGTCGTACCGCCACCGGTAGTCCAAAGAGGGGGCCGTCTTCTGTTTCTTAGCTAGGTCCGAACGCACCGGTTCAGACTCTGTCAGAGCTCGCTTTCTGAAGAGCTCAACCTCAAGATCGTCGCGGAGAACGATCTCTTTACCTGTCGAAGCAGGCACGTCGTGCGGAGCATCGACAACATGCAGCTTAGCTTACCTCGCTTCGGCCACCTCTTTTTCCCTCCTATCCCTGGAATCATGACCATGTCGGTCACGACGATCATCTCCGGACTCCTTCTTTTGACGAGCTTCGGCTCGTCTCTCAGCCTCTTTGGCTTCGTACTCCTCCAGAGAGAGACGCCTTGCCAAGGCCGTGGCCTCTTCCTCTTCACGAGTCATCTTTCTCGGCGTCACCGATGACTTCTTCTTATAGCGCGAAGAATAATTGCCAACTACGTTGACATTTAGTTTCCCCATGATCTGACTAGAAGCTGGAGAAAAGAAGTAAGTAAAACGACGACCCATAACAACGAGACCAAAAGACAAATCGAAATAACAAGGGGAGGAGACCGACCTGGAATTCGGGTAGACCTTTTTGGTTTTGCTGGACCCTTCTTGCGGTCGTCCCCCTCGGCCTCGAAAATGGACGACGTACTGGATCTTCCTCGTCTGGCCAAGTATAAGGGCACAAAGACAAGATCTTCTGAACGTCGTTGTGTAGTTGCTCCGGATAAGGGTCGAAGATCTTCGGGCAACGAACTGCAAAAAAAAAAAAGGTCGGGCTTCCACTTATGAAGGATCAAAGGTGCGTAAACAAAAAGACGATCCCATAGGGTCAAAAGACGAACTACCAGCCGAAATCTTCCACTTATGAAGGATCTCGGCATGAGGATCCTCGATAGACTCCTGAGAGACTTTCACAAAGAAGTACCAACGGATCTAGTCGTAGGTCTTGCTCTTCGCATCAATAACCAGCTTCGGGGTAAATGATGACTGAGCGTAGAAGAGGTCGGGCTTCGAACTTCCAAATTTTTTCAGCACCGTCAATTCTTCGAATAAACAACAACGTGGTACAACACCGCACTGATCTGCAAGACGAATCATGCCATAGGCATTCCGAATCGCCGCGGGAGAGAGCTGAGGAAACGCCAAACCTCACTGTGAAGCATACTACAGTAGAAAGGATGAAATGGGGAAGGTGAGCCCGCAATCCGTAATGTGCTTCTCATAGATACATATGTATCCAGCAGGAGCAGTCCAGGGCCGATCCCAAGGATTCGGTGTAAGAGTATCCAAATTAAGCGGCGTGTTGCAAAAGTGGAGGGTCAGATCCAGCGTCTGACTTGTGGACGTCGTCGGACGGAGGTAATCGTGGATGCCAGGCACTGGCCCACCATTAAGAGCAATCCCAACATGAACAGTACCCCACCTTACTAGGGGGACGTCGTCATCGTCATAAGCAGCAACGACATCGCCATCCTTGTCCCGGAGATAAAGAGTTGTGACAAGTGCGGCAGGTATACTCGGTTCGGCCGCGTCCTTCTAAGATTCAGACTCACGCCTCTGGAACTCAGCAACAACCGGAGACGACCTGATTACCGAAGACTCCGATGAACCGGGCGGAGATCTCGACCTACGACCCCGGGAATTGCTCACAGATTTGTTTAGAAACCGGTCGACAGAGCGGATGTTCGAGTCATCGAAAGTACGGGAACGACGAAGATTGGAGAACGAACCGCATGAACTTACGCTTAAAGACATGATCGGAAAAGAAATAAAACGACGAACTGAAGATATTGAGGAGAGAGAACGGAGAGAATACCTGAACTTGTGCGGGAGAAGAAATAAAGAAAGTGAGGATGAGAGGCTGTACTTATAGAGGGAAGGGTCGGTTGAGCGAAACCGCGTAATCATTGTGTTTTGAAGAAAGACGCAATCATCACGCTCTTCGCCACCTTCAACACGCGAACGACCTGCAAACCAACGTCTCGGGAATATAAATCGACGAACCACGAACCCACGTCCTCCTCACGCGCCGCGAGAACACGCACCTCGGGAAGGAAGAAGAAATCCGAGCCGAATTAGTAATCATTACGACTTCGCCGCTTTCAACACGCGAACGACCCGGTTTTTGATATCTCGGGAGCAGCAGTAGGCGAATCAGGAGAGATCGTCTCCCGCACGCACCTCGGAAATACGCGAAGGAAGTCGAGCTACTGTTGATGGTGGATTTTGGGCATGGCCCAAAATCCTCTTGGGCCCCCGGATCGGCAAACGGGCTGAAGAATTGATTTTTAAAAGCCCGGCTCGTTTAAAGCCCGATCCAGCAAAGGCTCAAAAGCCCACTAAGAAGTAAAGCACCGACCTTAAGGGCAAAAAGGACATTTCGAGGGTACAAGGTACCCCACCTCTGTACCCTATAAATAGGAAAGTAGAATGATTGGAAAGGGGATCCCGAAATACCCGCTTTTACAAAGAATTTCGTACCACCGTCAGAGAACTTTGCGGCTCGGCTCGTAGATTAAGTTTTCTGCTCGTCCATTGTTGTAATCGTCAGTTTAATAAGAGATTCTTCTTTCTTCCCTCAAGATTCCGTATATGTACTTGTGAGATCCGTGTATCAACAATACTCACCCACTCTAAAAGGAAATATGTATTGGGTTGCTGGACAATATCATCATGGCACATTTATCCAAAGTTTTGATTTTTCCAGAGAGACATCCAAATATATGAGCCTGATTCCTTACTTCTATGATACATATGATAATGTAGCCTTATGAGCTTTTAGAGAAGATAAGCTTTCTTTGCTTCACGAACGTGTATACGAAGAACATGATCAAGTGGGGGAGACTTGGTATCGGCCGGTCACAAATAGTGTCAAAGATAGAGTTGTTTCTTGGACCAAATTGTTTGTTGTATCGAGACCTGATTTGCCAGAATTCAATCTCGGTGAAGATCATCCTCATTCGGTGTATTTTATTGACAAAGTAATAGGATTAATGTTATATGTTCTGAAGAATTAATAACCACGGGAGGTAAATGCGTTTGCGTCAACTTATACATTATTGGAAAGGATGGATTCCAAAAAAGAGAGATAGAACGAGATAGGGTGGAAGAGAAATGAACATATAAATTTGGTTATATGTGTATTCCAAGTCTAGTTCCGGTCCCATAGTATGAGGATCTGCCCAAAAAAAAGCATACTTTTAAAATTATTATTATTTGTGATATATTTTATGCTCTAACTAAACTATAATTTATAAACATTTTGTCAATCCCGCGGCATCATTTTGTTAAGGATATAAATATTTTATTTTTGAGGGCTTAAATGGTCGTTGCTTTGTGGATTAGTGTATGTGTATACCTTTTACCATCGAGGCAGAATGATTCATTTAAAAAAATGAAGAACGTAAAATGTCTAGGTTTGGGCTTTGGGTTTTCGTATTGCCCAGAGAACGTAATATTGATTTTTGTGTCCTAGTTTCAACATTCCGTGGACCGTCGTTCATTTTCAATCTTAGAAAAATATGAGTTAGAATAAATAATAAAGAACGTAATAATTCTTTTGAATATTATAAAAAATCTGAATATTATCACAAATTTAGTTTTGGATTTGAAAATTTAATATTTAGAAGAAAAAAGATTGACAATAAATAACAAAGATAATAAATGAATTCAATTTATACAAATGATATATGTATATTTTCTGTAAATAAATAAATAATAAAGAATTTTGTTTCTGTAAATTCATAAGAATTTTGTCTATTTATATGAGAAAATTATACACGATACTATATAAAATAGTCTAACAAAAATTTATAAACATATTTTTTTTTATACCAGAAAATTAATTGATGAGTTCTAACAAAAATTCATTAAAAACACTAAAACCATATTGATATATTATATATATATATATATATGTGTGTATATATAAATGTAAATGATTGTTAATTTATGTTATTAATGGGATCTTATAATATTAATTACTTAAGGATTCGTAAAAAATGTTATTTTATCATTTTATCGAATTTTGTTTATTTTTACATTGGTTCGACTTGGGATCAAAATATTTATTATTTTATACTAGTGCTTATCAATTTAGAGGTTTTATTGTACTTTTAAGTCATTATTTGTTTCCGTTATTTTGCTATGCGATTTTAGTATATAAAAACTCCTCAAATATTGACAGATCCATTATAAACTCTTCAATTAAATTACTCTTTCTGTTTCAAAATATAAGAGATTTAATATAAATACATACATATTAAAATAATTTAATTTTCTTTTAAACACATTATTATATTTTATTTAAAAAATAACCAATCATAAAAAAAACTACAAAATATAAGTAGTTCCAAATTGTCAAATACATTTAGGGGGTGTTAACTTTTCCCAGATTTCAGGCCCAATTCTATATAGGCCCAATAAATTGAGATTCACCCGCTCATCTGTTAACACCGAAATGAATAAGTGCCACAAATACGTGCATAAATAATGGGTAGCTATGAGCCTATGATATAATGACTATTCTCTTTCTTAACGAAACCACTAACTAACCATTTTTTAACCTTTAGGGGGTTATTGGATCATTGATTTGAATGAGTTTGGAAATCTAAGTAAAATCATATGTTATTTAATCATTGATTTTAATTTTTTTTTATAAAAATCATGTGTTTTTGGTTCTATGATTTACAAATACTTTTTAAAATCACCCTTTATTCTTTTTCTTTTTTTTGTCGAAAAAAAATCACCCCTTATTCAATATTGAAGATTTGAGTATGGATTTGACTTCATATTGGATTTGAATGAAATTGAATATATGTTTTACTTATAAATAGAGTGATTGAAATCCTTGGGTTCCACCTAGTTATTTGGGTGGATTTGGAAGAAAACAATATTAGCAGTTTCTATTTTCCATAATGCAAGTATGACGTAGAGCAATGTTTTGAAGATCATGAAACACCATCATATAAAAGAAATACCAACAATGCTTGAAAACAAACGAGAAGCTTTCGAAACCAAACGAGACTTGTAAACAAAAAATAATTAATCTAGCACTCCATCACGTTACGCATAATCCAACCATAAAGCTCATCAATGGACATACTAACAAAGACTTCTTTCATTCCTAATTGGTGAATCAATTTAACCGCATCGTAACGAACTGTTTGTTCCAAATTAGGAACTTCTTTGATAGCTTCCCATACATTATTTTTCTTCTTCTCAGCCTCTCTTTGTTCAGATTCTTTTTGTTGTCTTGTTTCTCTTTCTTGTATTAGATTGAAGAGTTTATGAGTTACTGTTGTCAATGAATTCATCTCGGTATGGACTTCTTCTGAATCTTCACTATGAGTTGTTGGTTCACCTACATTGTTAGTATTGCTTCTACGCTTCTTTCTCACAGGAAGATTTTCTGAAGGGCCCCTTAAATTACTGTCTACAAAAGGCAAAGGTGTTTCATGACCTTCCTCGACATCCATAGAAAAATCTTCAATAGAACTTGTTTGCTTTTTTTCCAGCAATTTCACATGTTCGAGCATCCGTACCATCACCTAATCCAATAGCATTCCCATCGGTTGCTATGTTGTCCCCAAATATCATCTTGAGATCATCAAATTCTTCAAACGTTTCATCTCTGAATTTTTTGTAACTCGGATGCGCCTAAAATCCAAAGAAACATATTTTAGCATAATTACAAATTTCACAGTTTATTTGCTTATTATCTTATTGATCATGCAACTTTCCACGTTCTTTTTAACATTGTATTAAAAAAAAAAAAAGCCAAAAGGAAAAGCTAATGTATGTGCAGTTTACCTTTATATAATTATTCCACACCTCATCTGAAGCCGTAAAAACTTGCTGAATTTTTTAACAATAGTATTTTTCTTTCCACTGTAAACTTGCTGAACACACCGCTTGAATTACGCCAACCCGAAGCAAGACCGTCTAAAAGTAAATCTATCAAAGTTCTGGTTTCTTGTGGACTCCATGGAAGGTATGGATTTTTTTCTTGATCTTGTTGTGAATTGCTCATTGTTTTTTTTATTGCTGTTAAGTTTTGTGCTACATAAAAACTAGTTTAAGAAGTTAGTTAATATATAGTCTTTTCGTTTACCAAAAGGTTCTTATGAAAAATGGTGATTTGACAAATTCTCGATTAAAAATTGGGAAATCTTACAATTTCTTGAATCACAAAAAATTTCGTAATATATTACTCCACTTGAGAAAGCTTCCATGTAAAATGTTCTTACAAAAAATGGTGATTTGACAAATCTTACAATTTCTTGACTCACAAAAAAATTCGTTTACCTAAAAGTTCTTACGAAAAATGGTGATTTGTCAAATCTTATAGGAAATCTTACAATTTATTGACTCACAATATATATATATATATTCTTTCTCTACGAACTTTCATGTTTCATTTCACAGTTTTTGTTTGAAAAATGTAAAATGTACATAAAACAAAAAGTAATATGTGCGTTTGTAAAACGTAAAATTTACATAAAATAAAAATGTAAAATATACATATAATACAAGTACAACACTATAAGAACAAACTGTTACTTTTCCATTAGTAATAAGAAAGAGATGGCGCACCATTGATAAATTTGTAAGTGTATTTTCTTAACTTTATACGTTAATTATATTTTTAAACTTTCTTGTTGTGAGATCTCAACACACGTCTCCACCTCTTTGTTGCTTGATTTTTTAATTATCATGTCATTTACTTGTAAGAAAAGTTTTACGAGTTATATTTTTTGTGTCACAGGTGTACATCATCAAACATGGATCGAGCCCATCATGGAGATCAAGAAGTCCTTGAAGAAAGAGAAAGAAATGCATTACATGATGACGAGTTGGATGCTGATATTATTTTGTTGGTGCTCTTGATTTTGTTTCGGATGTTGTATTTGAGGAAATGCCTACGACATGGACCTCAATATTTTCGACAGTTGTATCGAATGTATCCACAAATATTTCTGAAGTTATGTAAAGAACTCCGGGAGCAGACAAGTTTATGCGATACAAAATATATTAGTGTTGAAGAAATGGTTGCAACTTTTCTTCTAGTAGTCGGTCAAAATTCAAGGTATTGTTATACAAAAGACACTTTTAATAGGTCAACGTTTGCAACAAGCGTGAACTTTCACAAAGTTTTGCGGGCTCTTAATCAAATTGCTCCAAGTTTGATGGCTAAACCGGAGATTGCAGTGCCTACCAAAATTAGAGAAAGTACGAGGTTTTATCCGTATTTTAAGGTATATCTTTCATATAGTTATGTCTTTGCTTTTTCATTATCTTTCATGGAATATAATTTTATTGTTATTTAGGATTGTGTTGGAACTATTAATGGTACACATATCCTTGCAATGGTATCACAGAAAAAAGCGCCTTCTTTTCGTAACAGAAAAGGTGATTTATCGCAAAATGTGTTGGCTGCTTGTAATTTTGATCTCGAATTTATGTATGTTCTTAGTGGATGGGAAGGTTCAGCTCATGACTCAAAAGTATTAAATGATGCTTTGACAATGAACAGTAATCGACTACCAGTTCCAGAAGGTACGTACATGTCTTTATATTGTAAATATGTTTTTTCAACAAGACAAGTGCTATATTATTATTGTATCTTTTATAAGAAATTATTATTGTATTTCAGGAAAGTTTTATGTAGTAGATTGTGGATTTCCAAATCGTCAAAACTTTTTAGCTCCGTATCGTGGTGTCAGATATCATCTACAAGAATATTCTGGTCAAAATTCACAACCAACGAATGCAAAAGAGTTGTTTAACCATCGTCATGCATCCTTAAGGAACGTGGTTGAAAGAATATTTGGTATTTTTAAATCTCGATTTCTATATTCGAAACGGAAATATGTGTTCTAATCTTAATATAGTTTAAATAGAGTCATTATTTCTATATTCGAAAAATCGAATTTGAAATGAACCATGCAAAAACCAAAAGAAAATCATTCTACATAAAACCTATTTTTTGGAAATTAAATATATATTTGATTAAAATCCGAATACATGTTACTATTATTTATGAACCGAAACACCAAAAATCGTAAAATTTACGAGAGACACGCCTGAATAACTCTACAAAACCCATCTTCACTAGCTATATTGATGTACTTGAATAACCTTCCAACGAAAATACATTTTAAAGTCTTAAGTTCGAGTCTTGCTATTAGGGAGGCGACTAACTAACCTACTATGATCTCTGTTTTGAGGGGATTAAAAACCTAAAACTCGAAATCTTTTGGTTACCGAAAAAAAAAAACACTCTTTTGTAAGCACGCAATTTCCAATGAATTCAAATACTAAAAAAGCATACTGATCTATATATATAATTTGGCACAAGCAATAATAATGTACCAAAAACTTTGGTAATAAAATTTGGATAGCCAGAGATGTACGACATGTTTGAAAACTTTATCCAGGACATTTTAAATACAGTTCGCAAGTTATTACAATAAAGTATTAGTCAGGTTCCATATCTTGCATGTGTTGGTTTACATAATTTTCTTCGAAAGTTTTGTCGAACGGATAATTTTCTGGAAGAAGACGAAAGTGCAGAAGAAGTTGTCGAAGAAATTAATGACAATAATGATGAAGTTCTTACAACCCAAGATCAACAGAGAGAATATGTCAATCAGTGGAGAAAAACAATAGCATCAAACATGTGGAGTGATTCAATTGAGAATTTATAGATCAGAACGTGACAGATTATTTCTTAAAGATTGTAATGTTTTAATTTTATAATCCTTTTGTATGAATTTCAAATCTGCTTTATTTGACTTTAAATTCCACTTTATTTGACCTTTCAAATCCACGTTGTTTGATTTTTAAAAGAATGAATTTTGTGTGAATTTCCAAATGTTACTTGGGGTTATTGGATCATTGATTTGAATGGATTTGGAAATCCAAGTAAAATCATGTGTTATTCAATCATTGATTTTAAATTTTTTATAAAAATCATGTGTTATTGGTTCTATGATTTACAAATACTTGTGATGAAAAAAAAAAAAAAAAAAAAGATTTACAAATACTTTTTAAAATCATCCCAATAATTAGAATTAAATCCAAAAGTCAACGAAATTATAATAATTCAGTCTAGTACTAAATTATAAATGGAATCAAATCCATAAAATAAAATAAATAATCCGACAAAACAAACTATTCGATAGCAACAGTACTACTGTTCTTGCATGGAAATGTTCCAATAATGCAAATTTCCCAATAATTAGAATAACGTTTTGAAAATGACTTGAAAAAAAAACAGAGCAGAAGTTCCCAAATCTCCCCATCTCTAATGCCACAACTTCATACAGAATCCAGATGGAACAACCGCAGACGCACCGCTACCACCAATCGCAGAACGCTTTATCGAAACGCGGTCGTTGAAAGTATCTATGAGCTGCTCAGCTAAAGCCATGGGATCATCAATAAACGTATCAATGAATATCTTCACAACTCTAATCTCTTGTGACGTTGCTCTCAAGCTATACCAAGTCAGAAACTTCTGTCTGAAATTCTTGTCGATATGTCCTGAACACTCGAGCTGTCTTATGATCTTCACACAATGCTCTAGTCCACTCTCTGTTCCTCCATTCGCTGAGTGATCACCGTTGTTACAATTGTCTTTAACCGATTTTTCAATTCTGGCTTGACGGTTCTTGATTTCATCTGACCTGAAGGGAGTAATTGGCAAACTCGCATCTGAATTGTTTCGATTACTAGCAAGATTATTCGTAGTAACCAGGGCTGGAGTTTCAGATCCGAATCCGGATCCGGATCCGTTCTTATCCAGAACAGCTTCTTGTTCTTCCTCATCCAACAACACAATCTGTTCAACGTTATTCTCAATCTGTACAATGTCTGATTCGGTTGTCCTCTTCGCCCTTTTAGCAGCACTTTCATCAACTGAAGGAGAATTGTTGTTGTCGTTCTTTGATGGCTTCTTTGGCACAATGTAATCGTTATTGGACTCAGCTTCGACAGAAGAAGGATTAGAAGACAATGTGCTGCAATTTGTGAGAGGGCTTTCGCTTCTTTCGACTCCCGAAGAGCAATTCGCTCCTTCTTCAGCGCTACGTGTCAAAACATTGATTTCATCGACGCCCATTTCTCTGGTTCCACTATAGGACACAACTTTGAAGCAATACTCGGAAGCTGGAGCTAATCCAGAGACAACAAATCTTGTGTTTGGAGTAAACAATGTGCAAGTCGATTTCTCCGGGTAATCTTTTTCTGGTACCTTGCGATGCCAAATACTGTAGTGGACGATGTTTGGAGGTGAGGGAATTTCATTAGAGGCGAGAACCACTGTAAGTGAAGTCGCGTTAACATCCTCGAACCTGATCTTGGTTGATCCTGTGGTTGCTGTATCTGCAGATATCTCATTACTCAATACATAAGAACAATCTACGAAACAAAATCAGAGAATCAACGTTATTTAACATACTTGTTATATTACTCAATCGTTGAAGATATAAAAATTCTGACCTTGCTGCATCTTGGAGCTGCGAGATGAAGGTAATGCAGCAACATCCGGAGGTTTAGTTGCTAGAGTTTCAAGAGATTCAAGAGCAGAAGAGCAAAGTTTCTGCACATCGGGTCCCGAATGAAGTCTGTTTACAATTCCTCTACCCATTTTCATAGGGAGACCAGTGAGAGGACCTACATCAGCTTCAAGACTCTTGACAGCTTCATCCACAACCATACACAGATTTCGGTATTTTGTTGAGCTCTTCAATAGTTTCTGTACTAAGAAAAGACGGTAACAAAGCACATCTACCCTTCTGGTTTCTTTAGCAATCGTCAATTGCTTCTTCCAACATTCAAGCAAACTGTTTGCTTTACCGCAAGAGACACAATAGAAGCAGCATCCCTCACTTTGCTTGTCTTTTCCAAGACCGGATTTTTCAGTCTTGAAAGCACATTCAAGATGACACGAGAATCCGCAAGACTCACCCTCAAATGGAGGATCTGAGCTACATGTTAACCAGAGACTAGGATCTTTGTTATCATCATACTTACGACAGATGCAACAGGAACACCTTCTGCAAAATGAGTCTTCCTGTCTCAGTACAGCACGGCAAGCCAAATTCTTGCAGTAGATAGTACTCTCACCTGACCAAATTCTATTTTCGGATTAGAATGCACCAAAAAGTTGATAACATTGAACCCAAAACAGAAGATTTTTTTACCTTTAGTATTAACCGAGCTGCAGCTCCCTGAGGCATTGTTGCTTGTTACGTTGTTGCTTGCTGGAAGCACATACCTAGAAGGATTATCGACCTTCCTTTGTCTCTTTGTGTTTCTCTGAATAGGCAAACAATCAGAATCTCTCTTCTTTCCTTCATTCTCTCCAGGGTTTTTCTCGGATACAATTTTCAAAAGGGTCTCGATGATCTTGACTTTGGTCAAGCCAGTATACTTCCTTTCTTTTCCCATTTCTGCGCATAAGATCTGTAGAATCTCTTGCCGGCTCCATGCCTGCAAGACCTCAGAAGCTAGATGTGATTGCTTCGACAGTTCATAAACAAGCTGTCTCTTCTCATCAACACTCATTTCATTGCATTTCGATGAGTCACCTGCAGCTCCTGTATATAGAAAGAAAAGGAAGTCAAATTACATTTTTGGCTCGAAGTGAAGGCAATGGAGAACAATGTCTTAACCAGAAACACACAAACTATCCAAGACTAATACAGGAATCTGCCTTAGAACCTTGTTTTCCAAAACTAAGAAGAATGTATACAAATTCAAATACAAAACTAAATTGGAATTCTGAAAAGTGAAACACTTTGTTCATTTAAAAACAAAGATAGTTCAACTACCACCACAGGACAACAATGCTGATAAGGTTTGATCAATAGACATCAAGGAGTCAGAGAGAACCAAACAATAAGACAGCAAAGATAATGTTCTATAGGATGCAATAGACCAAGATCCAAAGCAAAGAATAAGCCACAAGTTAGAGAATGAAAGCATGATTCTTTTAGGTAATAGAACCCACATTCATCAATCATGCCATCATGGAATCTTATTCTATACACATAACAAAAGTCATATAGTCTTCTGACGCACGATTAAATTAAAAACCCAATTCATCAAACCAATGATAGTGGAAAAAAACACACACAAACACACAAGAATATGGAGTTAGAACCAATCAACCAAAAAAAAGTAAAGACCCACCATTTAGAATCACCAATTAGAAAACATAAAACTTCCAATAGAAATAGAAAGATTAAAGAACCCAGTAATCTAAAATCAGTAGCAAATTAGTATAAAACATAAAGTCTCCAACTTTCGAAAAAAATTTGAATAAAATAAACACAAATTTGAGAATCCAAAGCTTCTTCATTCATCACCAGCTAAAAACAAAAAGAAGTAAAAAAATATGTTTTTTTTTTCTTGAAACATTATTATAGGGAAAAACAAAGAGACACGGATATCGATAAATCTTAAGCAACCAATGAAACCCAGAAATCTACCATCGAGAGAAGAATCCATGAGCGTAGAGAAACTGTCAAGAACTAATCAAACCCACATTATCATCATAACAACCACTCAGAATCTTCAAATCCTGCGATGTGAAGAAAATAAAAAAATTAGGTAAACGATTGAAAAAAATAAAAACTTTATGGGAGTGAAATAAAAACAGAGGAGAGAGAGATCGGGAAAAAAGTATTAAAGGAAAGAAAGTTACCCAATAAGGAAAGCTTAAGAAAAATTCGTCAAGAGATTGAATCGAACGGTTTTTTTTCTCTCTCCCTCTTCGGAGAAGTTCCCGGAGAACGGATACACCGGAGAAGAGAGAGAGAGTCGTTGTGAGCGGAGAAGAGAGAGAGAGATTGACGCTGTGAGATGGGAAGAGAGAGAGAGAGAGAGAGAGAGAGAGAGAAGATGGGACTATGGAAGAGAGAGAGGCCTATAAAAGAGATTAGAGGAGATGCAGCTTTTTGGTGGGCCCCCAAAAAGGGTAAAAAAAAATGTTTATTATTTATTTTTTTACTTTTTTAATGTTCACGTTACTTCTGTGATTTTGGTTTAGCGTAACGTTCGTAATTTTTTTTATATAAAAAAATTGTTAGAGATTGATTTAGTAACTAGCTATTCTTTTTTACAGTTTGAACTTTGAATTGTTTATAGTAAATCATGTTTCATATAAAGGAAATTTTAAATTTTGAGATGTGAAAAGTAAATTGTTTTTGACGTCACAGAAAAAGAAGAAATTAAATAGAAAATTAGGAGATGACTAAAATATGGTCAAATTTAGCAAATATTGAAAAAAGATTCGTGAGAATTAACCAGAAAGTATATTGAGAAGATATATTTCTCCCTAATAAAACAAAGAGGATTTTTAGTTCCTACGAGTCAATCATATATATATATATATATAATACATTAATACGTATGCAATTGGTATAGTTGTATAATTATGTGACACTTATATTATCTTAATTTGTTTATTTTTGAATAAGCATGTTGCATAATAACACGCGTTAAATACACATTGGCCAATTCGAATACGTGTGTGTTACGGGAGCATTGGCTATTGGGAAAATTACTTGGATTTGAAGGGGATAAAACGACATGTGCCAAACACAGTACACCGGCTAATAAAATTAAAAATATTAGTGGTAAATGATCATTTGTCTTTATTTATCAATACCGAAACATTATTTTTGAAAAATTGTTTGGATCACAAGTGTCAAGTAGTTTTAGACATATGGATAAACAATTTGGATTCTTTTGGGTCTTTAGCTTTTGTCTAACGTACGAGAACGCATCGAACTTATAAGAAAACAACTAACCGTTAATAAGTACTCCACTAAAACTAAGTACACACCTAATCTGTTTTTCTCACTTTCTTGTCTAGTGTACACGCAGACATCTACTTCTATTCAAATTCAGAATATGGGAATATGGGTTTGCTTCTGTGTGCTAGCAAATGAAGATAATATGGTCATGCTTCTTTCGTATCATTTAATTTGTTGTTATTGAATCTCCACCTAACCTAGCTAGCAAGCATCTATGCCATAGTAAATGCTAGATATTATTAGTACGGATAACATACATGTTTATATTGAAAAAAGTGAGTTTTGATTTTCCAAATAACGACAGCTCTTAAGATTCAAACTAATGACAAATAATGTGTTATGTAGATATTGACATATTGTTTGATAATCCTATTCCTACGTGGCTACGTCTAAGCCAGATTATTGTTGACTTTTCGTTGACATATGTTTAATCAGTGTAGCCAAAACCAAAGCCCCATGAATTTTAGAACGACTAGTCGTGAATTGAAACAACTACTTTTGGCTACTTTAAATCCAATTGATATATTCTGTATACTTACGCGAAATATATATACGATCGTAAGAGCAAACACAGCGGAGTAACCGAGCATGGGGTGTGAATATTTTAAAAATGAGAAATAATATACTGCGTTGTTTCTCTTCACACTCGAATTTTAACTCACACCCGAGTGTAAGATAATAAAAAAATCTTTCTCTCTTTCTCTCTTTCTTTCTTTCTCTTTCTCTTTTCTCTCTCTTTAAATTAAAATAATAAAAAAATATTTACATCCCACTAACACACACCCACCCAAGTTTACCATTGCTGATGGTCTAATAGGTCTTAACTTTGGAACTAATTATATATTTCATCATCTGTATTGGTGGTATGAATATTTTATGCGGAAGTCGTGCATGGTACATTGTTACGAGCTGGATATGACTAAGAATCCTATATATGCAAGAAAACTGTTAGACTTAATGGTGGAAGAATTAAATAATGTGGACTAGCAAGTGACAACATACCATATATATATACAAAAGAATTAAAACTTAAAAACAATATTAATGTTATCATCTCATGTGGTCCCTAAAGGGTTTGTTCAGTTGTGAATTGTGATAGCTTTACCAACAAAAAAAGAAAAACAAATTAACAAATCATGAATCATTGAATGGGGTAAGTACGAAAAGTGAGATAAAAAATCTCATTCACATATATTTCATAATATTTTGTCTTTGAGCAAACTACTATATAACATTAGTTTCAAAAAATAAACCATTGGTCGTGAATAGTATTTAGTACACTTTTGGAGGAAGTAGGGATGTGATGAGATAAAAAATCCAGAATGCTAGTTCGACAGACGGTATTATTAAGTTTGTAAAAACAATATCATGATCAAATTTGGTTAACCTTGATACGATCATGCCATATATAGCCTTTTTAGACTCGTCAAACATGTTATTTTCTTTTATTTTGTATTATGTGGTTAGTTGAAGATTAACCATCAAAATCTCATGGGCATACATAAACCTTAAAAAAAATCAATCAAATTTAAGTAAACCAACAGAATAGAAACAGAATATTTTCAAGCCATAGGCTAATTTTCACAACATCCCTACTAATTAATAGTACCATATATGATATATCTATATATTATATCTTCTTGCAATGTTTCTGGTGAAAGGTAAAGGCCAAATTAATATCGTACATAGTATGATTTTGTGTAGTTTGATCTAACTAACGAATACCATCATATATAAAAAGCAATGAATATAGTCTAGTGGTTTCGTCATATCAAAGTCGGGAGGCAGGCCCGGCCCATAGGACAGGCAAGTGAAGCCACTGATTCGGGTCTCAAATTTTGAGGACCTTTTCAGATAAAAATTTCTTAAGTTTTTTCATATATGTTTATACTATGAATTTTTGTGTAGGGTCTTTTTAGATAAATATTGTGGGCTTTTTCATATACAAATAAAACAACTAAAGACTTAAGTAAAAAAAAATCATAAACTCTAGAGAAAAGAAAAAAAAACGACCATACAGTTGTTAAAATTTTTTATAATATTTTTCTTAGTTTTCTTTAGTTTTTTAATTTTCTTTTTGACTTCTCTGTTTTCTTTTGATAATTGTTTCACAGTTTTAGTTTATAACTTTTGCTGGTTAAGTGTTTAATTTTTTTTTTCTTTTACTTGTTTCAATTCGTAGAAATATGTCACCACTAGAAGTGTGATATGAACAAGACATGTTATTTAGGAATTGCGTAGGGCACTCATATATGCCGGACCGGCACTGTCGGGAGGTGTGAAATTGTATCTAGTGGATACGCACACTTGACTTAATTATATGTTTTGTGTCATAGATTTCATAAGTGGCATGAGTTTTGGCATACCACGCTAAACAATTTATTTTACGTCGGTAGAAACTTGAAAGCGGAAAGTTTGTTTGTTAGAAGAAGAGTGTAGAAAATATGATTAACAACAAATTCTTTAGCATAATAATTGAATCTTCATCACAAAAAGGTGTTTAATTATACTTGTAATTGGGTACATATATGGTCCATCCGATCAACATAATTATGTCCTTTGTAGCACTTTTATGGCAATTTTTTCTTAAAACGCACCAACCGGAAAATGTCATACTATTAATAAATATATATTATAAGAACAAAAAAAGTCACGAGTTCTATAGCAAACTATCGTGAATTCTTAGTCATCTTTAGCTTATTGCTTTTGGACAACAAATCCACTTACATTATGACACATACGCACACACAACGTTGCAGAAAGATGGTCGCAAAGGAGATTCTCTATATGCGGAAAGAGTCAGATAATTTATTTCCTAATCCATTTTAACAATAATTAATCAATAGTACAGCTTCTTCATGCTTTATTGATTGTAAAGAGTGTTTCTAGGCAGACGAAGTCATAGCACCCAAGATCTGGATACCAAACCATTGAAACTTACAAAACCAAGGCCTACTTATTTGATAAATGAAGGCCCATTTGGCCCAATTCTATTATCAACATAGATAAATTAACAATAGTGTGGAGAAAAGTATTTAGTTTTTTTTGGTTGTGAAGGCCCAATCGGCCCAATTATTAATTGTTGTCGTAAAAGCATTATTAATTAGATTTTATTGATCGAAAATGTTGCTGATAGATTAAAATCAAAGAACAAAAAGTCTCTTTTTAATGTAGACTGTAATTGGTTGTATTATGTATATACTGTGTTTTGTTCACATATATACAGTAGAAATGCTTTAATTTTGTTTTTATTAATCACTATGTAAACCAGTCGACATATGCAAATGGTTAATTTTTTTGGTGACAAATTTGATGATAGTTGACAACATGAAAAAGGAAAAAAAAAACTAATCTTGCAAACCTATGAAGGAGTATTGACATTTTTATATTTTTCTGCATTAAGAAAAAAAATATTAATGTTTGAACCTTTTTTTCTTTCTAATTAGCCTCACCTCAAAGGTCCAAACAGAAATGGTAGGCACACAACTCTTAAAATTTGTATGGATGTGTAGAGAATTACAATCAAATATATATTGAAAATCATATTTTAATAAAATGAGACCAAAAAGGCGGGTCATTTCAAACAATTGCAGAGTACAACTATTTTATGTTAATAAGATGTTTTTTCTTGGGCATACAAACTTTATTTTGTTGATCAAATAAGGGTACAACAAAACAATAATATTGATTAATACATAAAGTTTGATGGGGAAATTAAGTGGTTAAGATTTGTCCACCTGGAAGTGTTAGATTCATATGATTCACAGTTTCCTTATCAACCAATGAAAACTACATTGCTCATCAATCTCAGTATCTCACCACGTACGTGGGCTTTTTATTGCCTTTCTCTCATTTACATATTTTGAGCCCAACCAAGTCTATTTATTAATCACTTTTCTCTCATCTATAAACCACTTTGTTGTACTTGTATAAATTAGCAAACAAGGATTTGATGAAAACAAAAACAAAAACAAAAAAGATGCAAAAAAAAAGGGTTTATATTTCTGTCAACAATAATGGTTTTCTAGAATTTGAATTTTTATTTCTACAATAAGAAATAGAAGACTTATA